TTACTTACCACCTTTGTTCTTTTTCCTGGAAAAACTTAACACTACAATACTATTTAAGTCGGTGTATCCTACGAGTCAAATACAGGAAGCAGTAATGTGAGCAGAGCATTGCTACTCGATCTGAATCCACGAGCAGTCTGAAACAGCAGGCTTCAAAACCCACAAACTGCCTAAACTGCCTGGTGTAGAGCAAACTCTGCCGCTTTGACACTAATAAATAGCACATGACAAGGTCAAGGGATGCCCATGTACACCGGAAAAAACCCCTTCCTTATCTTAAATGAAGTAGTTCAAAATATTGATATCCTGTCTTAAAAACAATCTGCTCTCTAGTAAGACCGTACACCTACAGTTGCGAGACAAGTGTTTTTGCAGTCGCTCTTCTGCTTTCCATGGAAGAACTTGTGATGGCTGTTAATGCTGGGATCAGAAAGTGACATGCCAATTCAGAGGCGTGCTTAAGTCCCGTACACACATATTAACACATAGATATGCTACTGCCTAATAATTTTGAGTTAACAAATGTTTGTTAAAAGAAAATGCACTGAGTAACTGAAACCTAATTTGAAAAGGAAATATAATATTCCCATAAATGTATGCATGAAAGCCAAGAAGCTGCATAATAGGCATAGAAAACATAAAAATATGCAATTTACATATATTACACACTAATAATCTCCATTCTGACATTATATTTAAAGAGCTCTGGCTGAGATAGCATGCTTGAATTTTGTTTGCTTTCCAATGAAACACAAACAAGGACACTCCTGGCTACCAGTTCCCCAAGACATTAATATTCCTGCAAAAGTGAACCTTTGGCAGTCTGTAAGACAGAGGTTCTCTCACCACGGACAGGTAGTAATGAGTAAACCAGATGAACGAGGAGAATAATCAGTCACGTAAAGGAGATCTGCAGATCTTGTCTTGATGTTAAAACATGCCAAATATTAATGAGGTGGGACTCTCTTTTCTCTTATTCATTTAAACAAGAGCATTTTATTTCCCAGCCTGCAAGACAGGTATGTTATGGAGCATTCTGCGTCTTAAAATGACCAAGGCATACAGTTCTCTCTAACTTCCAAATTCAAGACTAACACAATAAAATTACAGCACCCTAGCCATCTCCACTTGTTCTCTGCCTTCACCCAGAGCTTGCCTTAAAAAACATATTTGTCCATCAGAGCCAAGAAGAAAGTTAGAAAGGAAACATCCTGCATGGGAAATAAAGCTTCCCCAGGGTCTGTGTGTCAGATCCTCATTTGAAATAAATTGAATTCAAAGGGGAAAAGGACGTTTATGTCTGGCAAGAATATGATCCTGTGAATCTTAATATTAGATTTTGTCCTGCATGTTCTGAGGGGGTTTTTTTAAATCACAAAAGATTATTCAGGCTTCAGACAAATCCCCCTTTCGCCCCCTCCCACTAAACTCGCCATAAATTCAGCCTTACACACAGTGTGTCCCCAGCGCTTGCCTGGGAGAGAGACAGCAATGGGTGGAAGCATTATGTTAATTGCTCACACACCCAGATTTATTGTGGTCAAAAATCCACCGGCTAGTAAAGAGACCCTCTTTCCTTCTCATCTAAATTCCTTGCACACAGTCAGGGCACTACAACATACCCAGTCAACAGGAAAACTCCTGCTTCTCTTTCTTCGTGAAATCCTCGACACGCAACTGGCTTTCGACTTGTCGGGCACCGCTACCTCAGCTGCACGGCCAGCACTGGGCATCTGCGGGAACTGGCATCCTAGGGAAGCGTGACAAGGGGACACACTGCGACACACCCCTGACTAAAGGCCATTTCACACGCAGTAACGTGGTACATACGTGACCGGTGTCTGAGGATCTTTTGGGTGTAAAGCACAATCGCTGTTTTGCTAGAGTCCCACAGTTTATTCCACATAATTTACATATTTGAGGCAGTATCACTGTCTTAAACACAAAGACTAGGTCCATCACTTTATACAGCCATGCATTCTATACATGTCTCTCAGTTATTGTTTAGGCCCCAAAACCATTTTAGAGGAGCTGTTGGTAACACTACATGAATTTGGGGCTGGGGTTTTTGTTAGTTTGTTGGAAAGATCTTTATCAGCCAGTGAAAGTGATTATTCAGTTGCCAAGAGCTTGTTCAAAATCTAAATGGATATAAGTAATCTCCCGTATGCATTCAGTGATGAACACATGATACCATCTTTTGAGTGACCAGCCCCCTCCTAACCCTGCTAGTAGATGTGCAGGGCGTGGCCAGGAGCTCTAAGCACCGGGGTAGAAAAAACTTTCAGAAGTCAAAGGAAACCCAAACCAACAGAAGTTTGATAGCATAAAGACAGGGCTGGGTGTAAAGAAGCACAGTAACTGATTAAATTATCAAATCTGCTCCAGGAGCTCCTTTTGATTATATCAAACCAGCAAGAATAGGGGGGGATGAAACCTGGCCTCACTTTTTTGTCCCCCTTTGCCCAAACATCACAAGATTTCTTTACTGTTGTGTTCCACTTCTGCGTCACAGACAATAAAAGCTTTGTGAAAGGAAAAACAGATCACATTTTTCATAGCCAGAACCAACATACATTTAAACTGACACCAACAACTACTTTTGACGGATTAACACCAAATCCCAGAAAGATCTTTATGTCAAAAATGTGGAAGACTTGCATGCTATGAAACTAGCCATTAAAAAAAATAATGAAGCAACTAATATAATGTCATGGCTTTTGTTGGAGATTGCATTTAGAAATCAGAATTCTTTAGAACAAAAATCCATTCAAGTCTTGTTGGAAGTACATCCATTTGTTTTTCTGTTGGTATTTTTTTCCTGAGGTTTCAAGTCATAAAGTTTTGTACCCCACTCTATGCTACAGGAATCTGTGAAACTTAATTACATTTACTGTTACAAAAAAGGGTTTATGAACTTTTGCCTTCGGGCAAAAATGTTTATTTCATTGCCTTTGTTATTCATTCTTTTCAACTCCGGTGCCTTTGAACTTTTCAGCTGCACAGAGTTATCACCGTTGCACAGGAACCAGGAACTGTACTCCCGAGATGCAAACCACAAGTTGAAGAGAACGAAGGAGGCAAAGATATACGAGTCGTTATTTTGGCCACCCTTTGTGCCATTAAAATCTCATTTTCTGCCTATTAGAATGCCCTCTCCTTGCTTAGGCAGTGGTGATAGTCAGTGATTAGTGTGTAATTGGGTATAATTGTCTTTTCACTTTTCATTTGTGTCATTCTGAGCTCCTCTCTGTTTTTCTAACCACTGAGAGGAAAAAAGGGTAGAAAGAAGATAAAGCTGTTAAAATTCTCACTTTCAGCCCTGAAGAGGTTCCTGATTGTAATTATAGATTGCATCCTCTTTGTGATTTCTCAGAATTTAGTGGACATTTCTTTCCAAGCACCTGGGCAAAGCTCTCGCTAATAAAATAAACTACCAACTATTCAAGCTCTAACTAATAATGTCAGCTTCAGACAGATGCCGCGTGTAGGAAAATTTAACCAACCTTTCGACACTCAATTATCAAGGCAATTTATTAACATGATTTCCTAAAAAGAGCTCATGCAATTTAGAAAAAACAATTACGGTATTCATGCATTTATATATTGCCAAAGAGCAGCAATACTCCTAATTTATGTATTTATAACTCGATTATAGCTCATCTCAATGCACACTGCTCAGCTCTTGGAACTCTCCTCATACAACTTGCCTGTAATTTTCCCAGACCATTTGGTAAAACCTTGGTGAGGTTATCTTAAAGAGATATTTTATTTACAGCAAAATTACACGATCTACTTTCTGTACCTGGCAATGGATCTTCACTGGGAATAGCAGTACCTTACAAATGCTTGACCACTGAATGTAAACATGAAGCCTGAATGATTACATTATAAATCACTTGAAATTAAATATAAGCTATAATTCTTGATTCATCCAGTAGGAGGAAAAAAAAATTTAAAAAAAAAAAAGAAGGAAACTAGCAAACTGAAATCATGTGGCTTGTATAAAGAATACATTATGGTTTAAATTTGGCAATTCATTATACTGTGGCCTGAGGGAATAGACTCTTTGGTTCTGGTATACAGCAAATCCTCTGTCTGAAAACACAAAACTGACCTGAGGTGAAAGGCCATTGCCAATGGCAGGGTTCATGGGATTTGAGGGCCCGGACGGAGGCACAAAGCTGTCTGTATAGCTGGAAAATCCATGCCTGGTGCTCGGTAGGCAATAGGCAGAGCTGCTCTCTGGATTCGACGGGAGGCTGCTTTGGTGTACAGTGCTTGGAGGGAGAGGCTGAGGTCTATGGACGGTACTGCTTGGATCAGACACAGCTAGAAGCAAAAGAAACATGTTCATACATTTTCCTCCTTTTTCTGGCATAATAAATTCATTATGTGAAGGTCAACTTGAAAGAATTGCATCAGGACCTGCATGTAAATACTGCTTAAATAGAAAGGTAAGTCTTTAATGTTGCTAGATATTTAACTGGCCAATTAGATTACACAAAAATTCTTAAAAGACTGTAAAAATCATAACAACAGACACATGCAGTTTTCAGACAATCTTTAGTGGGCATGTATTGTTCAGAATTGATACAGCAATATTTTATATGTCTATATACATATATAAAAAGATAAAGGAAATATTTATTTGCTTAGAAGACTGGCAACAGGCTTTCCCCTCTGGGTCACAGCACAGAAATTCTGCCATGGTTTGTAGTGAACCTGGCAATGGATGGGAGAAGCCCTGGGCTTTGAAAAATTCCATTAATTAGAACATCCACCAACAGTTAGGATCCAAGCCTCAAGGAGGGAGCAAGAAGGGTACAGTAACTTGTTTTATAAAATTTCACCTATAAGGTTTTTCTTTAACAGTAAAACCTAGCGTAGCCTAGATTTGAGACTGTTTCCTCCTCCTCCCGTCCCCCAAATCCATCAAAGTTCAGAGGATTTTTAACGTTAAGACAAATTTTTACCATACTGGGACTCGCTACTCTCTGATGTGAAACAGGACGGCCTGAGTAGCTGGGTTTTCCGCCATCAGATAATTATTCAGAGTACTTATAGAATTTTCCAGTGCACCATCAGCAAAAACAACAAAGAGAACAGAATACAACTTCTGCCTCCTTCCCTGCCACACTGAGCACCCTCAGTGAGGGAGGCTAACGCAACAGAAGGGTAGGAAAGCGTGTACATCACTTTACCAACACTGCGCGTCTGCCGTGCAGGAGGCTATTATTTCTCTAGCTGGCACCCTTCGCGTGTAACCAGCCCTTTCTTGCAGCAAAACAAACCCCAGTTCTTATATGCTTAAAATAAGCAGGCTTGCAAGGTCCTCACTGACTCAGACCCTGAATTAGCCAACATCTCTCTTTCTACATCAGAGAAAAAGATATTTCTACAATGGATCAACACAGGAAAGCCCAATAACACTATTTTAACCAAGTACCTGTTGGCTACTGTACCTTGCGGTATGGAGGTGGGCTGATAGGAGGGCTCAGAGAGCTGGTAGGTTGGCAAAGTTGGCATGGCGCTGGGTGGAAACCCTCCTGGGATCAGATGGTTGAAAGCCATGAGTTGATTGGCTCCTGCCTGTTTCCTCCATCTAGCACGTCGGTTACTAAACCAGACCTACAAATGTTTTAATTAAGCATGTTTTATTTTTGTACATTTAATATGGGTGCATCAGAAACAACAACATTGTATTTCAAATGCATTCAGTGTAAGGAAAAAGAGAGACACGGAGGATGCACACTGGACTCAGAGCTCCTAGACAAGAAAGGAGCCCTTGGCACATACATCAATGGTTCAACAGACAGGACAAAGGAATCCCAAACCCTAGTTTCCTCTCAAATACAGCCTGTTCCTGAGAAAGAAGCTGACTAATGCTTTCAAGGTTTAGTGCTTTTAATAACTATCAATCACTATCCTTATTGCACCAGATTTAATGAGAAAGGGAAAACATCTCTCCACTTGATCTAAGTGCCAGCCAAAGCTATTGGGTCTGGATTGGATTGCCTTTGCATTTAACTTGCTGACAAGTTAGCAGCATCGCTTAATGCACTGATGGAAGGTTTTTGTACTTATATAATGGGATACTGTATTGCCCTAATGATCAACAGAACCTTAAGCTTTTAATTTGAAAAATGCAAGCCCCATGCAGAAAACACACAAATCCCTCCCAGCAAGTTTTCATGTATTCAGATATGTAGAAAACATCTTTTAATAAACTTTACATTAACAGTAGATCAGAATTTCAGTACCAGATCAGCATTTCAGAACCACTTTGAAATCTGTTCCCAGGCCAGGGCACCAAACAGATGGGGTTTAGATTAGCAGGATATTTTAGCTGTAAATTTACTTTCCTTCACATCATTCTTAGTTCATGTTTAAGTTTTCCAAGTCTTGGATGTCTCTTACTGCCTCCTAGAAAGGAAGAGGCAAGACTCCACAAATGCAGACATAGTAAGAGTTCTAAAACACACAGGTCAATATTGATATTAGCAATCACACACGCCACAGATCAGAAGGGCAAGCAGCCACAGGAGGGGTGCATGCACCAGCGTGCATCCACACTGCCCTGCTGCGGGTGTAGAGCAACTTCCAGATTACAGCACTCAGGTCCATGAGGTGGACCACCGCAGAAAAGAAAGGTTGTTTGAGATAAGGGAGACTACACGTTTGTAAACAAGCAGATTGTTACTCATAATTGTACGCCCTGAAGCAGTTGCAACGATCATCTCTGGACACTATCAATTAGATAAGACCTAAACTGAGCATTAGCATCTTACAAGGAACATGTCCACAGCATGTAAAGCAGTCTGGCCTGAAAGCACAGAGGCGTGTCACTGGATGAGCGACATGTAGATGTATTTGTAAAAGTGAGCTGGGTCTCAGATCTGTCACCCTTCCTGCAAACAGCCCATGCTGGCTGATGCATGAACCATCACAGGCTGTACTTCCAGGTGTAACATCATTTACAAACCATGAGTGGCCCTTGCATAAGAGTACAACAACATTTTGGACTGCACTCTGGGGTTCGCTTGCTGATTCACAGCAGGAAGGGTGGGACTCACTGTGCCATCTGGTTTCTGACGTGGGCCATCTGTCACCATGCAGTTTCCTCTGGCTTCATCCTCTTTTGGATGGGATGCTCAGTTCACACAGCTGCCTCCTCCTTCGGCCACAATGTCTACTCCTCAATTATATACTCCCACTCCAGTTTAATATTTAAGACAGAGGGATAGACGGAGTCTCTGTTCTATCTCAGGAACCCCTCTCTTGGTGTTTGCTGTACAGACTACCCCTCCCTCTGCCTCCGCACGAAGCATTTCTGAAAGCAGCTGGCAGGAACAAGGCACCGGGGTGGAGATGGCGCAACCTGCGACGAGCATTGGTTGAGGGTGGGTCTAGACTCAGCAATATTTTTTACTTTTTCATCATATGGACATCTATATCCTTTTCCACTTCTCTCCTTACCCTTTTCTTCCCTCACTGACATTTAAGTCTAAGTTTCTTATTTACTCCTCCCAGACTCCTTCCACCTGCTCTGTCTCCTGAAGCCCCCCAGTCTCGCCCTCCTGCAGCAGTATTGTCTGAAGACAACCAAAGAGAAGGAAAAAGCAGCAAGAGACACTGAAGAGGGAGCAAGAGCCTTTGCTAAAGAGCCAAAGAGCACTTAGGAAGGATAATGGAGGTCAGAGAGGGAGCAGAGAACAGCAAACGCATGTTGTAATTAGCCTGTCCAGGTCATTAACTATGGTTTTCTCTATGACACTCTCCCTTTTCAGGTCAAGAGGGTTATCTGATGATCTTCAAACGCTTTGGAAACACTAACTGAACCACACTACATGAGTGGATATCACTGAGGAAAATGAGGTAACGAGATTTTTTTTTTCCTCTGCAGATAAGCATTTGCCTTCAAGGCCTAGATATTTATTAAAATGAGTCAGATCCCAAAATTTAATTCAGTAATGACTGATTTGCATTAATGACACGTTTTATGCTTTTATTTACAGATAGATTTTGGGTCATTTTATAGATTTGCATTTTTCCACAACTGCAGATATGTATTAAACATCCCTGAAAGTTACACACTAAATGGTATCAAAAAATCTACAGCAGCCCTGTGATGAACATCCTTGCGCAGAGCTCTGTTGCCACCTGCAGCCCCGGTAAATTAAGCGGGACACTGCAGAGGTGTAGGAACCTGCCTGGGCTGTGCAGAAACAAGGCTGTGTGTTACCATCTCAATCCCACGCAACTGGGACACGCTAAACGGGTGCTACGTGACCAGCACCCACATCACATGCCGCTGGCACAGCCATGGCTCCAGGCTCAGCAGCTCCAGCCCCCCCACGGGCTCGCTGCCCCCCAGCCACAGCAGATGCCAGCTGCTTGCCTGCCTTCGGACTGTCCCGGGGCAGCAGGCAGGCAGGTGGCATCTGACTGGCACCGGAATTAGTCCTAAATTAACTCACCAAAACCCCTGGAATAAATTCCAAACTGCAGAGTGAGTCTTATTGCAACTCATACTACACACGCTCATCACTACAGAATGGCAGAAGCACATCTAAAAAAACGAAAACAAAACAACGACAAACAGACAGCAACCCACACCTTCACAGTAAGCACCAGGGCTCCGATCCACAAAAGTACTTGTTTCCTTTTGATTTTAACAGTCTTTGGAACAGCCTTGGTAAAAATACTAAAAAATAATTTCTCTTTAAAATGCAATAAGCATGTACCAAGCTCTTACCATCACATATTTTCACAAATGAATGTACTGAAGCTCTGAATCTGTAACCCCAGGTGTTTTAAACACAGCAGTTTTTACTGTTGTTACTATTTACTGTCATGGCCTCACCCTTTTCACATGGCTTGAAATTAGGTTTGCAATTGTGTTTAACTCCTATTTTGTACCAGCAAACTGCAGGTTTCAGATGTTACATTTGACAGAACAAAGGAAAAATAATGTAACAGCAAGAGAGGAGGAAAAAATACAAAGAAAATTAAATGGGAGAGTTAAAAAGTTGAAAATTGGTTTTGGAAAGTTAAGAAAAAATTACTCAAACCTAGATAACTCAAACCTAAATATTTTATTTACATTTTATGTAAAGTTTATTGAAATTAGTCAGATCCCAAACTTTATTCGGTAGCAGTTATATGCTTTCTATGTTAACTGAAGTGATTTTTTTTTTATCCTAGTATTTCACTTAGACTACATTCTCCTGCGTTGACTTAGTCTCAAAAGTTCAGGAATTTTTTTTATTTTTTGAATCTGCACATCTCATGAAGAATCCATGTGCACTGTTACAACTAAATAAAGAAATCTTAAAAATTTTGCCAACATCTAGCCAAGACTTAAAAATAAATCTCTTCAAAATGAACCAATATGTCTGCTTACAAACATATTGTAAACACCTGGGGAAGCATTTTGTCTGTACATTTCCGACATGATTTAAACACCATGTCCTCTTATTTCAGTAAATTTCAACTTCCACCAGCATGACAAAATCCCCATCTTAGTATGAGCGGCCTTTGCAAATCTAGCAGGTGCCCATAGGATGCTTCTGTTCTCCCACAAACTCCCTTCTGAGGGAAGCGATCATCACCTGGATGCAGAGATGCTCTGGGCATAACACAGCCCCTGGTGAAGATCACAAGGGTCACCCTGGGTGAAAGTGCCACCCTGCAGTGGGTGTAACAGAAAACCAACTCTAAACTATCTACATCTACTTAATCTGACAAACTAAGGTACCTGGTGTGTTCCCTTCACCAGCAACAGCACAGGTCCCAGCAGAAGGCAGACCAACCCTAGACAGATCACCACTGCCCACACCAAATACCCCAATTCAGCAAAAGCAGTGGGTAAGCTACTGCATTTTGGAGACTCAAAATAGACTGTTCTTACACAAACGGAACGGTCTGAAGAAATATGATCTCCTTGTGTCCTATCATGCAGGAGCTCCCCATTAGTCAGCACTGTGCTTGGTGCTGTGCAAATGCAGACACAGGCAGAGGAAGCGCAGTGTGTCTGAGGGACCTAGGCGTCCAAAACCCACGTCTGCACCAAAAGCCAAGTCAGCGTCTTGGTGAGACTCTGGCTCCCCAGTTTCTATGCCACTTTCAAAGATGGAATGTAAGTTACCCAGATGATTTGGAAACAAAATTGAACCCGTGTCTGGCCAAAATTTATATCTCAAAAACAGAACTGAAGAAGATGAAATTTGTAACAAAAAGAAAAAATAGTCCTTTAAGAGAAGTAAGCATTGGAGGCTCCAGTTACTCAAGGATCTGGAACTGGACTGACCAAAAAAGAAAGACAAGAGAATACGAATAAAAATATTTTGCACCGGTGTAGAATGGATGAGGTGAACTAATAGATTTCTGCCATCTCTATATTCCGATATTTAGATCCTGCTTTTTATTCTTATTTTTCCTTTAAGCAGATTACAAGTGATGATGCCAACATCTTATTTCGTTGATTTCAACAGGATATTTTTAAAAGATGGATTTATTCCCTTGGGAACACACTAGTGTAATTAGCCTTGACATTTCAACAGTCTGATGATAAACACAGAGTGCTCCATTGCTTTTAAGGCAAAAAGATCTCCTAACCAACAGGGAAA